AATCTAAGTAATAGATTGGGTTTGGTATTTAAGCATTTTTCAGTTTAGGAGAAGTGGCAGGTTCCTTTTTAAACCTGTACTCCACTTCTTAGAATGTATTCCAAAGACAGAAAAGTAGGTACAAAGATCAAAGCACAAGGGCATTTACTATAGCTTTGCTGAAAATGGAGACAATTAGAAAAACCCAGCTGTTGAACAACAAAAAATGACCAAAATACAACATACAAGAGTATAAAGACATACTTCATTTTACTGCGCTTGCAGATACTGTTTTTTGCCATTTGAAGGTTTGTGGAAACACTGTGTCGAGCAAGTCTATCAGCATCATTTTTCCAACATCATGTGCTCACTTCATGTGTGTCACATTTTGAAATATTCTCCCAATATTTCAAACTTTTTCATTATTATTGTATTTGTTATGGTTATCTGTGATCAGTGATCTTTGATGTTACTATTTCAATTGTTTCGGGGTGCCATAAACCTCACCCATATGAGACAGCAAATTTAATTTATAAATGTTGCATGTATTTTGACTGCTCAACTGACGCCATTCCTGTTCCTCTCCTGGGGCCTCCCTATTTCTTGAGACACAACAATATTAAAATTAGGCTGATTAATTACCTGAAAATAGCTACTAAGTGTTCAAATGAGAGAAAGACTTCCATATCTCTCACTTTAAATCAAAAGCTAGATATGATTAAGCTTTGTGAGGAAGGCGTGCTGAAAGCCAAGAAAGGGCAACAGCTAGGCCACTTGCACCAGTTAGCCAAGTAGTGAATGCAAAGAAAAAGTCTTGAAGGAAATTAGAAGTACTGCTCCAATAAACACATAAAGGATAAAAAACTGAAACAGTCTTACTGCTGATATGGAGAAAGTTTTAGTGGTTTGGATAGATCAAACCAGTACAACATTCACTTAAGCCAAAGCCTAATCCAGAGCAAAGCCCTAGCTCTCTTCAATTCTATAACAGCTGAGAGAGGCCAGGAAGCTGCAGAAGAAAAGTCTGAAGCTAGCAGAGGTTGGCTCATGAGATTTAAGGAAAGAAGCAGTCTTTATTAACAGAAGTGCAAGGTGAAGCAGTAAGTGCTAATGTAGAAGCTGCAGCAAAGTTACCCAGAAGATTTAGGTAACATAACTCATGAAGGTGGCTAAGCTTAACAACAGATTTTCAGTGTAGACAAAACTGCCTTATATTGGAAAAAGATGCCATCTAAAACTTTCACAGCTAAAGAGGGAAATTCAATGCTTGGCTTTAAAGATTCAAAGGACAGGCTGACTCTCTTGTTAGAGACTAATGAAGCTGATGGCTTTAAGTTGAGGCCAATGCTCATTTACCATTTAGAAAATCCTAGGGCCCTTAAGAATTATGCTAAATCTACTCTGCCTGTGCTTTATAAATGGAACAACAAAGCCTGGATGACAGCGCATCTGTTTACAATATGGTTTACTAAGTAAGTACTTTAAGCCCACAGTTGAGACCTACTGCTCAGGAAAAAAGATTCCTTTCAAAATATCGCATGCTACAGAGAAGTAATTCCTGAAAGGAAGAGTCAATAGATGTAGCAAACTTCACTGTTGTCTTATTTTAAGAAACTGCCACAGGACATGGTTCCATAGTGCAGCAGTTAGCATGTCTGCTTTACACACTGAAGGTCCTGGGTTCGTGCCCCAGTGGAGCCACAGTCCATGGTCTACGGCCATGTCACCCTGCACAAGCCCGATGTCTGATCTCAGAAGCTAAGCAGGGTCGAGCCTGATTAGTACTTGGATGGGAGACCACCTAGGAAGACCAGGTGCTTGTAGGCATAAATAATTAAAAATTAAAAAATTGCCACAGCCATAGTCAGAAGCCATCAACATCAAGGTAAGACCCTCTACCACCAAAACGATAATGACTTGCTCAAGACTCAGATGACAGTGAGCACTAAAGTATTTTTTAATTAAGGTATGTAAACTGTTTTTTAGACAATGCTATTGCACACTTAATAGACTACAGTACAGTATAAACATAACTTCTACATATAATAGAAAACCAAAATATTTGTGTGACTCACTTTACTATAATATCATTTTATCGTGGTGCTCTGGAACAAAATCTGCAATATCTCCAAGGTATGCCTGTATCTGTAGTATTTTTAAATGATTTTGTAAAGTATGGCATGGGAAGATGATAACTATATATTAAGTAGGGGAAAGGTTATAAAATATATACACTGTGAGTTCCTTTCTATAATACACACACATACATGAAAGAACAATCTAGAAATATGCTCAAAAATATAAATAACAATTTAGGTACTAAAAAATCTTATCACGTCTATATTTTCTATTCTTGAGCAATCTATCATAAAAAAATTATTATCTTTAAAGAAATAATTTTTTTAAATTTTAAGGCAAAAGATTTTTCACAAATTAGTTAACCCTCTGAGGCTCAAACTATTCCCTTCAATTTAGTTAAGACTCTTGAAGGTACACCAACTTATTTCAAGTAATGAAGTTGTGATTCTTTAAATTATATTTTCCTTCCATTAAATGGTTCATACCCTACTGCTATGAAAGAAGAAAGAGGTCCAATATGTATTCCACAGATGTCCGGCACCAAACCTTTTTCTAGGATCTGTCTATTCACTTGTCCTTCAATGATCAAGCCCCTTGGTAAACATCTAACCTCAAAAACTGTAACCCCAACCTTCCACTACTCCCTCCTTCCCTTTTCTTTCTTTTATTACATATCATACCTTCTCAGTTCATTCTCTTTTCTAATTCTTTCACTATCCTAATAAACAAGGTCATTCGGAAGCAAAATGAATTTCTTTTCTATATTTGCCTACTTAAAGCGTTATATGACAAAACTTAGTTTCCTCATAAAGGTACCTTGAACTGATGAAATAACAAGATGAAATCAAATAACTGATTTTCTTAACACTGATTAGGTATTTGTATTATTTAAAGACTTTAAAGCACATATAAAATATTAGCAAATACATCCCAACAGTACATTAAATGAATAATACACCATGACAAAATGGAGTTCAAATCAAAATTGCAAAGATGTTTCAATTGTATGAAATCAACTACTACAATTTAGCATATTGATAGATCAAAATAGGGAAAAAAACCCCATAGATTATAGCAAAATTCTGAAAAAGCATAAATACTACTTTTCATTCTTGAATTTAAAACTTAATAAAATAGTAATCAATAAACACTCACAAGTAAATACTATTTGCTTTAAATGATCTTTTTAAAGTATACAAAAGGCAGTAACAAACTTCAGGTAGACACTAGAAGCAATCTAATCCAAGTAAAAGAGAAAAAAAAATGGTCCACTATCATTATTAAATAGCTTTTCAAAGACATTGCATGATACCATTCAACAAGGAAAGCAATTCAAAAGGTATAAAACTTGAAAAGAAATTGATAAATTTATCATCTTGTGCAGATGATATGACCATATACCTAGAAATCTTAGAAAGTCAACCGAAAAACTACTTATAAACAATGAAAGATGTCTACTATGGCTAAGGAATAAACTAACATAAAAAACAGTGTTCCTTTATACAGATATAAAGTAATGTAGTAAAGTAACTCTTAAGAGAAACACAAAAAGAGACAAATACAAAAGAAAGTTTTAATATTTAATACATAAAATAATGAAGAAAACTGAAATGTTACAGAAAGCAAAAAAAGCATTCTCCATTTTAATGATGAAGAAAAGTGAAGCCCAGAGAGGCAGAGTAACTCTTCCAAACTTGCATTATGAGTAAATTACGAGTGACAACAAAAGATGAACCAGATTTGTCTGACTCCAAAGCTCTTATTCTTTTTCTACTACAAAACACTGCTGGAATTTCAATAAAGGAATACTCTATAAGCAAATTCAGATGACTTCACTATTTATTATTTTTAATAATTTGAAAGTTCTACTTATAATCACTATAAATGTACCCAAGATATTTATACCAAATTAATGTGAATGGGTTAAAAAGAAATCAGAGAAGTTGTCTGAAATGAACTGAAGGCTATGTCAGGTGTTAGGTTTGCAAAAGGAATGGGTGCATGTGTGCAGCTCCCAGAAGAGGGAAGATCCACAATATTCCCCAAACCAACTTGAACAAGAAGAGGGAGAGGGAAAAAAGCTGAGGTGGACTTTTCAATCCGGTCTTTTCCTGAACCACGATTCATCATGGCCCTTACAGTTTGTCCCTGACCTTCTAATTCCCTTTGGTTACCCTGAGTTTGTTTTCCTGATATCTTGATTAAACTCTTGGCACACGGAATACCACACTAAATACAAGGCCATTCTCTTCTGCCCAATCTAAATGAATCTTAGGACTCTTCTTCCTGTGTCGGGTGTTGTTGTTGTTGTTGTTGTTGTTCTGTTGATCCTGTCAGTCACATACTCATCAGTGGGGCTATACTTTGTTATCAGATTCCTCGAAAAGTAGTGGGAGACGGATGTTGCACACTCCCCCTAGATATCAGCCATTATAACTATCTTCTCTCCTAGAATTAAAGCCTTTAGGACTTAATATTCTACTGTAGTTTGGAAAAGGTAAGCATGGATAGTTGAGGTCCAAGGAGAAAACGAGGAAACAATGGTGAATGAAAGGAATGCTTTTAATTTGTGGTATTTATTTTGGCTCTCAGTTGTGGAGGCCACCCATTCACAGGCATCAAAACTTTGGGAGAAAGCTAAGTTACCCACAGTCCTACATATTAGTCAGTAGTTAGTGCTCTCATACAATGTATGGAAAATGCCATAAAACTAAGTAGGCCCTAATTTGCTGCTTTTGTGAGAGGTTTCAGGATACTGAAACACAACTTTCTCTAAGAGACGGACACTTTACATTGCCCTGCAAAGCTCTTGTGAACATTAAGAGGAAGTTTTGGGGCCAATAATATGTCTATCTTAAAAAAAGAAGGGAGAAAACATCACAGAAGAAACTTTAGAAGTTCCTTTGCCTTTCAAAGAAAACAAGCATTCCTAACATCCTTACCAGTAAACAACATCCAGTGGTGCAAAGTAATTTTTCATTATCAGGTCAGCAAAGTAAGCTTCTGTTTCTCGGCAGGCAGTTCCATTTCCAATCACCACTGTGCTGCAGCTTCAAGGGAGAAACAGGATGAGAAACTGGATGAGCTCAAGGCATGCTCTAGATCAATCAGGAGAAAATGTACAGAATGCACAACTACTATTTTATGATGCTCATATTCTCTCATATATCCAAGCAACCTCTCTACCGTTTTATAACGGAGACAAACTTATGTAGAATGAGAGACAATACCTCTGCATTTGGTATAGCAGGCAGTGGAAAAATATTTTACTGTCACACCGTCTCAAGAATAGTCAGCTTTCTTCCCATCTAAACTTACACATGAGTAAGTGAACTCTGGAGCATTTTAAGCCATAATAAAAACATTATGGCTGAACTATGTGATATGTTGTCAAATAATTTCTGAAGCTTCTAACTACTACCACATCTACTCCTCAGACCCAGAAGAGAAAGTAGGGAGGGAAGGAGGAACTATAGGCCCAAATAGAAGAATTAAATTCTCACTTTTGCTCATATTACCACCTTTGTTTAGTGAAGATGGTAGAAGGGAAGAGCATTCCTCTGGAGTGTCCAAATGTAGAGGTCTCCAGCAATTTGCGCCAGCATGGTTTTACACTGTTCTTTATCTCTCACCAAGGCACTTCCCTTTACCCCTCCCTCCAAATTAGGGGCATCAAAGTTATCTCTGATTGGCTGAGCCACTGAAGTACTCAAAAGGTTATTCTCATACTTGAAATTCAGCAAAAGCCTCTTTATTTTCTCTGCTTCTCGGAAGCCTTGTCCACAATGCAAGTAAACCACATCAGTGTGAAGTATCTGACCTTAGAAAAAAAATGAAAAGAATAAGCTAATTTGTAAGAAATTCCAAAACATAACACACCAATGATTAAGCCAGATGAAACAGAAAAAGGAACTGGTTCCTCTTTTAAAATGTAGTCTGAATCATTCCTATTTACTAAATCGGATTCTCCCTAAGCACTTTAAAATTCTGTTACTTCCAAAGTTATAAGGACTCTATTTCACTACTTAAAACCATTATTAACTAGATAATATCATGACACCTAAATGAGAAATAATTGGTATTTAATAACACAACATTAATAACAGTAAAAGCTAACATTTACTGAATATTCGCCATATATAGACAGACACATTGTGATACTATTCTATTTTTTCATTGGGTTGTAGATATGTAAATGTCTTTACCTTGTGTATTTTTTTTTCAGCTGCATATTTATGAATTGTAGGCTTTTCTGTATTATATTATATTTCAGCTAAAATACATTTAAATATTTAAGGATAACTACCTAAAGAATAGAAATAATGAGCTGAGTGACCAAATTAGGAAGTTAGGAAAAGAACAACAGAATAATCTCAGAGAAAGCTGAAGGAAATAATAAAATTAAAAGCAGAAATTAATAGGAAAAAAAACATAAGAGAGGACCACTGAAGTTTAAAATTAAAAATCACTTAAGAAAAACACATACTTTTTAGCAATACCAATCATAAAAAGGATAACACAAATAAATTATATTAAAAATGAAAAGGGGATATAACTAGAGATTCGAGCACAGATTTAAACGCTAGACTGCAGAGACTACCAGAAACAACTTCGTGTTAATTTAGATTAAATAATGAAATGAATAAATTCTTGGAAAAATATTGCTCACCAAAAGGACTGAAGACGTGTGTGTGTGTATGTGTGTGTGTGTTGTGTAAAATTTTAAAAAGAATCATCCTGTAAGCAATACAAACACAGGAAAAGATAAAAGCCATATGATAGCTCAATAGTTGCAGGAAAAAAACACCGATAAAGTATTCTTCCTATTTATTGTAAAATTGCATGGCATAAAAAGAGAGCAACTAGAACAGCAAATCCAAAAACCTATGACTATATCTATAACAAAGTATCGCCACAAAATCCAAAAGATGAGCAGGTAAAAATAATGCACTAACAACTACCAAGACCGACAGGAATCGGTACTTCTATGGGAGGGAGCAGAGGGAAGCAACAGAGTAGCTCATAAACCCGAGATCAGAAAAAGTCCAAAAATGTCAAAAAGTACTTCCGTGGAAATCGCTAGAGGTGCATTTGAGAACAGGACTGAAACTAGGAAAAATCTGTGCAAACTCTAGTTTACAGATCAGTACAAAGGCTGCTCAGTAAGTTCAGAAAGGATTGGAAAACTCTGATCTCTATGAACTCTTGAAACTATCAAAAGTAGAATATTCTTTTTTATACAAAACCCCACACTGAGAATTGTTGCAAATCATATCCACATTGAGCAAGGTAAGGATAGTATGAGCAAAGGAAAAAAAAAAGTCAAGGTAAAAGGAGGGAAGGCAACAGGGAAGCAGGTTCTAGAAAGTGTAAGATTATCTCTCTATACACATAGATATAAAAGCTTTTTTCTCAATAATATGGAAAAAAATAGAAGTGATAGTTACAAAGATATACAGCTAGAAAACCTTTCATGATCTAGCCTTCCATCCTAAAAGTTGAGGAATACCAATTTTATGTAACACTAACCAACAGAAAAGAATCATAGTCAAATTTCATACAGAATGATTATTTTTTAAAATAAGAAATAAAAGACTAGTATGATGTCCTTGCTTACAAACAGAAATATCGTAACCCAATATATAAAATCAAGCAACAAAAAAAATTATGGAAAATGAGAATATCAGAAATCAGAATTACAAAACCTCAGAAATGAGATAAGAGAACTCAGAAAGCTCCTAGATATGAAAGAAAAAGTTACTTCAGAATTGAAAACCTAAACCAAAAGAAAAAGAACAAGAACAAATAAATATAATAGTAAATGCCTTAAGAGATATAAAAGGTAAAAATAAGAAAAATTGAAAAGCTCAAAAAAAGTTAAAAGGTGAAGAAGTTCACCACAGAACTGTAATCTATTTTTAGTAAGTATTGAATGGAAATTCCAAAACTTAAGAAAATAATAACTTAAAGAACTCAATGCATGGATTTAATAGCAGATAAGACATAGCAGAATAGAAAGTTAATTAACTTAAAGTCAGGCACTAGAAAATAAAACAAAAGAACAGACTATAGAAGAAAGAGGAAGTCGAAAGGTCTAATATACATGTAACTGGAATTCCAAAAAGAGATGCAAGAACCTCTACAAACCCCAAGCAGAATTCGAGCCAAAAAATGAAAATAATACATACACAGAACTCAGCATACTGTAAGAAAACTTCTGAAAACCACAAAGAGAAAAATCTTAGCAGTGAGAGGAAACTATATTTTTAGCTGACTCAACAGAAACTATAGTAGCCAAAACAAACAAACATTTCTCTGCCCCCCGCAAAAAAAAAAACCCAAAATAGAATGACATGTTTAAAGCACTGTCAATCTTGAACTGTATACCAAGCAAAAAATATTCTTCAAAACTAAAGGCAAATCAGAAACTTTGTCAGAAAAACAATAACCGAAATGATTTGTCACCAGCTGACTCACATTAAAGGTAACTGCCTCGAGTTTTAGGCAGGAAGAAAATGATCTCAATGAAAACAGAAATTCAGAAAAAAAAAAGAAGAGTAACAGAAAGTGTAAATATATGAGTAATAGAAAAAAATTCACTGGACAAAGCAATAAGAATGTCTTGTGGTATTTAAGATATATACAGAATTAAAATGTATCATACCTAAATGTATCACAATAAATAGAAATTGATGAGGTGACAGAGTTATTAAAGTCTAAGTCCAGTTCATCTTCCATCTCTCCATTGAGATGTAGGGAAGAGCATAAATGATGACAACATGCTGAGGATTTTGGTCAACAAATAAGACGATATAAAGTTTGAACCTCTGGTTCCCACATTATTGTATGTGAGAAAACTATTTTCTAAGCTTTGAAAATTAACATTATTTCCAAATCCTCATGAATATATAAAATGAACGTATGACCAACCAAACAACTTTTATATAAAAAGCTGAAAGATAAGCTTACTGGTAGGAGAAATTATAGCTAATTTGCAACCATGTTTGTAACCAGGATCCACTCCCATCAAAGTGCGCCCTGGAACAGGGCTTGTTAAAAGGAGCTGACGAAGGTTCCGTCCAAACATCATTACTGATTCCTTCTCTGCATCTGATGTTAGCTTGGCTCTTTTGAAACAGAAAAAGAAGAGAAAACAGAGAATGTATTTAGTCTTTCATTAAGTCAAATTTTCTTCCAGAAAAAGAACAGAATTCCTTTTGTACGGTTATTCCTCACAGGAACTTTTATTATAACAAAATGACTACAAGAACAAACATCATATACAAAATTATAGAGTCTATTTTTGCTAACTGCAGTAATATGAGAGACTATAAATAATTTTATGGTATAAAACCTTCTATTTGTTTTACCTGTACTCCATCTTTATCTGATCTCCCTTATATACAAAATTTATATATATACACATCTGTGTATATGAGAGAGTCACAATGTGTAAAGATTTGGACATCACGTGGGATGTCATATTAAAGTTTATCAACTGATTAAAAATATAAACGCATAATTAGAGTGATAAATTACCAAATCATAAGTAGCCTCCTCCGTCATTAATATCTTCACCTATACATAACTCAATCTTAACCTCTTACTCTATTCCAACCCCCAAATCTACCCCCTTGTCATTCTCAGTGATATGATCACAGATACTAATACCAGTCTAGAACCATGACTCATAGAAATAATTTCCTAATTTTATCCAGAGACATTATTAAAAGTTATTAGAAATTTTAAAACTTCTTCTAGGATAAAAATATATGTCTATAATGTACTTAAAGGCATTTGTAAACTAAGTTTTACACCATTCGTTTACTTAACAAAACAAAATATTCTCCTGAAATTCATAAGAAATTATAAAGGGTATGTCTTTTCTATTAGACCAGGTTTAAAAAAATGTATGTCATTGGCCACAAGAAAATTGAGAGTAAAAAAGCAATTTAAAGCACATTTCATATCATTGTTGAGGTAGAATTATTTACATATCTGAAGGCACACACAACTAATTAATATTTCCTTTTCTGGCTTAATTCAGTTTAAGGCTTTTCTTTCATCTCTAACATTTCACAGCCATTCTCCCTGCATTCAGCCAGGCAACATGAAAAGTGTCATTGTAAGTATTTCCAGATCTTGATTTTTAACTTTACTTACTGAGCGAGCATTTGTTGTCAGTCTTATATAAGGCACCATTATTGGTGTGAGAGATACAAAGCTGAAAAGAGGAGATCCCTGCCCTGAAGACCACTGTTTAATGGAAGAAGCAGAAAAATAAAGAGAAAGCATATAACAATGATTAGTGTTATATTAAAGGAAATGCAAGGGAGGAATAGCTAAATTAGAAAGACTTTCTAAGTGATGTCTTCTCAGATGACTCAAGAAGGATAAGTAACAGAATCAGGCAGACAAAGGTAGGGAGAGTAGATGGAAGACAAGGAGAAGATACTCCAGGCAATAGACACAGCATATGTAAAGGCTCATGGCTCATTATAGAAAAAGCAAGTAATTTCATATGCTATAGTAAAAAGAAATACCAAGACATAAGGTTGTAGAGGCCAAAAGAAACCAGATCATAGAGTCATGTATCTTCTTCTAAAGAGTTTGGATTTTATCCTACAGATGAAGAAGATCCATTCAAGAATTTTAAGTAGAAGAGTATGAGATAATCTAATGGAAATTTTAAGATATGTAATACATATTGTAAAATACAAGTCAGAGATCATCTAAGACCCTAGTATAGTAATTCAGACAAGAAATAATGATGTCCTGAACTGACCATGGATAGATCCAGCTATTCCCTAGTAACCATGGTGATAAAGAGGTGGTAAAATTCAAAATATAATAAAAGATGGTAAAATAGATAGCACTTGGTAACTGATGGATTGAAGAGGTAGGGATGAATGATCACAACAGTCACAGAAATAAGAAATGCAGAAGTAGACTACCCATCATCGATAGTCAAATGAAAAAAATGACTGCAAAATAACAATAATCTATATGATTTCTTTTAATACATACACGTGAAGGGAGAAAAGTCTGTTTTATGATGGTTATCTCTAGGTAGTGAAATTATGTGCTTTTTTTCTTTGTGTTTTACAAAGTCTTTCAATTTTTCTACATTAGGACAAATTTTTTAGAGAATTAAAGTAATTTAAAAAAATCCATTGGGAGCTTTCCCCCCTCAACTGCTGTTCAGGTAATTACAGTATTTCTATCAAGAGACATATCTGTAGACACTATCTGCAAACCAGCTTATGAAATGAAGTAAGATATTTTTTTAACCACAAGCATTTTTTTAAAAAAAGGAAAGTGCTCTTGCTTGCCACTGCTTATAGAAGTCAGACAGGATTATACATTAAACAATCCCACACTAAACTACTTTTATTAAACCTCAATGAAATTACTCCACAAGCAGTGAAGCTACGTAAATCGAATACATGCAAAAATGTCAATGGACATTATATGCAACATGAAAAAACAAGATAAAGGAAAAATATGCAAAAGGAAATAAAATTTTAAATAATTTTCTATTTTCCTTCATTAAGAACAGAATCTTTACTTTTAAATTTGATGCACCAGCACTCAAAAGGAAAAAATGTTACTTCACACAGGCTTGAAATGAAATGATTCTGAAAGAGATAATATTTTTAAGGGGCTTCTGGGCTAAAAAGGATAAATCAAGAGAATGAATTACTTTGACAAGAAGATGGACAAAAGAACTATGTGTCTTTTTTAAGAGCACCTCCTCACTCCCTGCTCTAAACACCTCCAAAGTCAATGGCCAGGTGCAGTAAAAGAAAAATAGACACACATCATAAAGGCTGCTATAAATTCTAATAGGTTTGAAGAGACAACTAGAAATCTACACTTCCCAGGTAAACCTTGCTGAAACCCATAAACAGGTGAAAATGAAGAAAATCTATAGCACATAGGAAGAAATAGATAAAGAAATGGCTGATTTCTAAAAATTGCCTACCAACACAAAGGCTACAGAGAAGAAGAAAAGAGCGTTTTTGCTTCCTGACATTACTTTTCTTTCCAGCTCTTCCCCTAAAAACAACTCTGAACCTCACCTCTTTTGCTGCCCTTTGTAATTAGTCCTTCTGCTAGTCCATCTACATGATCACTTTAATAATCTCTTAATATCTGCTCATCACTGCTGATAATTACTCATCCAACAACTCCCATTTAGGGTGAAAAACATTAGCTTTTTCTCTTCATAGTAATAAATTCATCATGTGCTCCACTGGTTTCCTTATGCTTTTTTTGGCTCTCCTACCTCTAAAAACTGCTTCCAACTAACTTCTCCATTAAGTTCTTAGTTTGTTTCTCCCAAGCCAACTCTCATCAATAAAACCATTTGTTTAGCTTGGTTGTCAAACTGCAAGATGAGTATTACAGAACTGGAAGGGGTACACATTAAGTGGTCAAGATTTGAAAAGTATATCATAATTAAGAACTATGTTTTGTGATCTATGCATGTGAATGCCTCTACAAATTGAAATTTAGGCTTAAATTTAAAACTGTGATTGTGACTCAGTTCTTTGTACTGGTTAATAGATCAACAAATATTTACTACATGCTTTGTTTTAATAGGCCTATTACCACACATAATAATGAATGGTATACAAAATTAGACAAGATGCATACCTTAACTCTCTACAGAGGAGAGGATAAATAAGGCGTTTAAAGGAATCATCCAGTGACTTGTTTAAGATCTTCATTAACTCTGGCCTTGCAAAGCCACGTGGTCTCCACCTGCAAAAAAGAAAAGAAAAACTAATGTACTAATTAATAATGAGACCAGGAAAGAGCTCCTGGAAGAGGGGAGCGGAAATGGAACTGAAAAGGGGGAGAAACTTTATTGAAGCCCAAATATCATAACTTGTAAGGAGAGACTGTGATGTCTGGAAATTATTAACTACGACATCTGGAGTTCTTATTTTTAAAAACCTAGTAACCATGGTCAAACAAAAAACTTAAGGGAAACTTTCCTATTTTGAGGAAGAGTCTCCAAAACCTTATTAATAATAGTCAAAATCTTAAGATATAAGAAAATTACCAAAAATTACTAAAACACTGCTATGGACTAAACTGTGTCCCCCCCAAATTCACATGTTTAAGACCTATCCCCCAATGGGATGGTATTTGGAGACAGGCTTTTGGGACATAATTCGGTTTAGATGAGGTCTTGAGGGTAGGCCCCTCATGATGGGATTAGTGCCATTATAAGAAGAGAGATCAGAAAGGTCTTTCCCTCTCCCTACCAAGTGAGAACATAGTGGGAAGGCAGCTGTCCGCAAGCCAAGAAGAGGGCCCTCATCAAAACCCAAATCAGCCTGTACCTGGATCTTGGACTTCACAGCCTCCAGAACTGTGAGAAAAGAAATTTCTTTTATTTAAGCCACCTGGCCTATGGTATTTTGTTATGGCAGCCAGAGCCAAGACAAACACTGTATCCTTCTTTTCCCATTTCTTTATTTCTTTCTGAGAGTTAAAGTAGATTGAGCAAAGGAAAAACTCTTGTTTTCCCCCTTGTCTTTTGTTACTCTTGAGTAAAACTTACACCACTGCTCAGACTGTACTGCTCTACCAAGTATATCTGCATACATGAACATATGCTGATGAATATAAATGGCAGAGAACAGACTGTTAGTGGACACTGGACAAAGAACAGTAAGAGAAAATGCAAGCTATAATAACAAATTAATTCAGCCCTAACCTTCTGTGTTTTCATCCATTTACAGTATCTCTGCCCTTGCCCTTCAACGGCTCTTGAATAATTAGGTATTAATGGCTTCTAATTAACTATTAATAGACCTAGGAATTCTCTCATCTCCCTTACCTCAGCAAGAAAATTTCAATGAACATTAAACATTTATAATGTGATACACCAAAAGTTACTTAATTGCAACTAACTGAATCCCTTCCACAAAGGGGTATTGAGGAGAATAGAGTTTTGTTTGTCTTTTAATTTGAATGAGAATGCTTTTAGGCAGGACATATATCCTTCCTTCTATCCAAATGCCTGTTACTTTCTACTGTCACCTTTACCTGAGGGCATGAGAAGTAGGGAGGAGTAGGATATGAATCGGACACGTATTGTTGTTGTTATTTTTTTTTTATTAATATGGGGAACCTAATGTCAAGAAAGACTTCCCAAAAGAAACACCTGAAATGGATTTTTAAAAATAAATTGTGGTTTAAATAATTAAATTAAACAAAGGAATAAAAGCATTCTGGGAAAAAACTGTAGTATATGTAAAAATTTACTGGCATGAAAGAGAACAGTAAGTTCAAAACTGTAAGTAGATTAGTATGCTAGGGCATAATATGGCAGGGGTGGTTTGGGTAGATAAACTAGAAAATAAGGCACTGACCACATCATTAAGAGTCTTATACACCAATGCTATGGAGCTTGGCTAGTTGGAAAAGAGAACATGGTCATGGGACAATATGCTAGGAAGACAGTCCTTTGAGGTAAGAAGACCCTAATGAAGTGATTTTTTTTTTTTTTTTTTTTTAGTGTATGTATTTGATGTCTACTGGGATCATTCCCTTTAAGGCCAAACCAACGTTTCCCCATTGCTTATAGGAAAAAAACGAATCTTTGATATTACCTACCCAGTCTCTCAGGAAGCCCCAATAGTCTTCCTTAAACTCAAGATCCTCCTTTGGTATGACTGCTCAGCTCCCTCTCCTTGCTCCCCTCCCTTAAACAGTCTATTTTATACTTGAGGATGCCTCAATTTCACCTTTCATAGCTGACCTATTTCCTATTGCTACCACCTAGTCCAAGTCACCGTCATCTTTTGCCCCTACATCTACTCTTGGTCCTTCCAAACAGTTCTCTATACTGCAGCCAGAGTGCTCTTCTTAAAATACAAACTGATTACTCCACTCCTCTGTTTAAATCTTTTATTGGCTTCCCATCAACCTAAAGATAAAGAACAAAATCCATAGCATGCCTAAGAAAGCTAAGTATAATCTGGCCTGTGCCTCAGTCTTGACTTCTTGTTGCTTCCTCTCCCTCTCTTGTCTCTGACCAATGTAGGCATCCAGCCCAGATACATTAAGGATGCCAATAACAAACTCCTGGGACACACTGCACTTCTTCTTTGTAACCTCAGCTCACTCCTAACCATTTGCTCAGTATCTTCTTCATTATGCTACATTGTCACCAAAGAGAGTATATTTATCAGGTTTACAGCTGGATCCCCAACATCTAGCACATAACCTGAATGGATAATTACATGGGAGAGGTGGAAGGTGGGAGAAGTAGAAACAAAGAAAAGAGGAGCGGGGTGGGGGGCGAAGGAAGACGGGGAGGAGGAAGAGGAGGAGGAGGAAAGATTCAAGAAAACATCTTAAATCATTCAAATGTGTTTAAAAGAAAAGAAAAAACATTTTTTGAGAATGGTTCTTTAGTTCCCAAAGAAGTATTTTAACTAGCTTTTGGTTCAGTTTAGTTCCCATAGAAGTGTTTCTTCAATTATCTATATGAAGAGAAACTTCTAGAACATGACTGAAAATTACATCACTATACCATTGTGATATAAAGTATAAGAGTATAGGTTAAATATTATTACTAATTATTCAATTGGAGTAGAACTGAATAAAATAAAAGATAAGCCAAGGAAAAGCAACTAAATCACTACAAGAAAAAACATTATTTGACATTTACTTGGCATAAAGATAATAGATTAAAAGCACAACTAATACTTAACCACTTAAGACAGATTCTGATATTAAGTACTATAAATATTCATAGAAAAATAAGCTAGTTGTCCCCAATTTACTGTGATCTATTTATAAAAAACATTTCTAAAAAAAATTAGCATAATAATCCCACCATTCTGTAATTATAGATACCACTGAAGGCCACACAATTACATGAAATACCATTTAATGCTCTCAAATCTGTGAGAAAGATATTACTCACCATTTTAAAAGATAATGAAACTGACAAAGAAATTAAGTAACATGCTCACAGTCACAGTGTGAGACAGGAGTAATGTAACTTGAATTCGAACTCAGATATAACCACTTCTTAGGATTTTGTTCTTATGAAACTATTTTAAAGTTTCATTATATCTTAAATTAAAATTATCTAATTTCGTAATATAATTTTTTAAATCTAGGATTTCTTCTAGGTATTTATTTCCTTTTTATTTTAATGGAATTTACTTATGTATAAAGGAAATAAGCATTCATTTTGAAAATGACAACTACATGGAAAAGCATATAAGAGAAAATTAAAATCTCACACCAGAGCTGAAGAGTACACTATACCTTTTCAAACATTTTCCTACACATACATAGATTTTTTTTGCCTTTACTAAAATCATACTGTAAATACTAATTATAAATTGTTTTTAATCTAAAATGACATGTTTGTATCTCAACTTTAACTCTATCTCAACTTTTTCAAAATGGCTACACAGAATTCCATTGTATGAAAATAACATAACTGGTTTAAGCAATTAACCTACTGATTAACATTTAGATGGTTGCTTTACTTGATAGGTTCTTGGTTTATCATTTCATCATTCAGCAAGTTGACCCTTCATGGAATTGGCTTTTGGCAAACTAGCTTCCAATGAATTAATGCAGAACTATGTTGGATAAGAGAGCTAATTCCCAAAATACACATAACTTGTTCTTCTCTAAGAACAATTCATCCGGCTCTTCAAAAAGCATTCCTAGCAATCTAACCAAAGGTAACACAGACCTAGTCAGTGATTAGCACATACAAAATCTACGTCTTCTAACACTTTACCTCTTTGCATCGGTTTTCTTATTCATCAATTGGCAGCTACAAATCTGCTCTACTAACCAAATAAATTGTCGTGAGGAAAAAAATACATGCTGAAAAGTCATAACTATTAAGTTAAAAGTGTCATACAAACATGTGGTACTATTTTTAAAGGTTCCCTTGATAAATGAAAATAGATAATAAAAAGTTACATAAGTTTGAAAATTTCTCTGAAATATATAATAAATTTAATGTTTATTTCAATCATCTTTAATGTATAAAATATTTTAGGTAAACTACACAGAATATGTTTAGGGGCTGAAATTGTAATATCCAATAAATTAAGTTGTTTCAATTATCCTTAATAACGCATTTTAGATATGTTTTATACAGTATATATTTAATTCATTTTTTCACAAGAGAAAACCTGCTCTTTATAGAAGATTCAAATCATACAGAAATTTATTAACGTAAAAGTCCCTCTCTCCAGAGAGAACCACTACTAGCAATTCTTATATACCCTACCCTATCAGTTATTTCCTACTTAAATATATATATATATTTATTTTTTAAATATATAAAAAAGACACTATATCCATGGTCCGTCATTGTTAGTTTGTTTTTTTACACAATGGACATCTTTCCATATCAGCACATATAGATCTCAGTATGGTATTTTAGAAACAAAAGAAATTCTATAAAAATCTATAAACAGACCTGTTTTGGATGCACCACCTACAGAATTCATTTTTAACTCCATCAGGAATGTTGACCTTGACCGTCAGTACCTTCAAATTTTCTCCACGATTAATTGCCAGAATCTGAGTGCAAACATATATGGCAAAAACTGATGATACATAAAATATATAAATGATCAATTTAAGCAGTCGACATTTCTAAAACAAATCAGGTGATTATCCAGACCTATATCAATTATTTATTTGCCAAAAATATATTAAAGAATAATCATTTCTTATTTTCAAGTTTTTAAAAAATAAAATGCAAATACAAAGCCTATGACATTCACTGGAAGAGACTCTGGTGATCTAATGATCAAAATTTCAGTTCAGATTCTACTAATTGAAAATTAATGATCATCTGGAGATAGAAGGATATACTTTTTATATTTGTGAAAAGAAATGAAGATAAATAACACTTACTAAATGTCAAGCCCATCTAAGTACTTTAAATATGCTATCTTGTTTAATCTTTAAGGCCACCAATGATGTATGAATTATCGTCTTTATTTTATATAATTTTCCAAGACCAAGTTGTCCCAAATCATAAAGCTAACAAGTAGAAAAGGAAGAATTTAAACTCGGATCAGCCTGATTATACTCTTAATTAATATATTAAAAGAGCACTTATTTTAAAATACATTAAAAACACTCCTTACAAAAGAGCAAACAAACCTAAAGCAAGCAGAATGAAGGAAATAATAAAAATAAGTGAAAAATTAACAAAAATAGACAACGGAAAATATCGGCAAAATCAAAAGTTGGTTCTTTGAAAGCACCAATAAAATTGACATACCTTTCACTAGACTAACCAAGAGAAAAAGGAGAAATATTCTAATTACCAAAATCAAGAATGAAAGAAAGGCCATTACCATGGATGCTACAAAAATAAAAAGGATCGTAAGAGTATACTATGAACAACTGTATGCCAAATTAGATCACTTAAATAAAATGGACAAATTCCTAAAAAGACGTAAATTGCCAAAACAGAATCAAATAGAAGTAGAAAATCTAAAAGAATCTACAACAAAAGGATGAATTAGCAATTTAAAACTTTCCCACAAGGAAATGTCCAGGGCTAGGTAGCTTCACTGCTGAATTCTACAAAACATTTAAAGAATACCAATTTTTCACAAACTCTTCCAAAAAAATACAATGCGGGGGGGGACCCTTCTTAATTCTTTCTATTTACTCTGATACCAACAGATAAAAAGGACATCACAAGAAAAAAATAGAAACCACCATATTTTCTGAATATAGATATAATGGTCCTCAAGGAAATATAAGTAAACTAAACTCAGAAACTTATAAAAAGGATTATATAACAGGATCAAGAGGAATTTATTCCAGGAATATGTAGTTGGTTTGACATTAAAAAAAAAAAATCAATTCTCATAATACATCATACCGATAAAAAACAAAATTGCATGATCATCTCAATAAATGCAGAAAGAGTGACAAAATCCAGCAGTCATTCATGATGAAAACACTCAACAAAATACAAATAGAAGGCAACTTTGCCAATGTGATAAAAGGGCACATACAAAAACCCCACAGATAACATCATATTTAATGGTGAAAGACCAGATGCTTTCCAGCTAAGATCACAAGGGTGTCTCCTCTTGCCACTTCTATTCAACACTGTAATGGAGGTTCGAGACAGGGAAATTTGGCTTAAATTTAAAAAGAAAAGAAATAAAAGGCATGTAGATTAAAAAAGAAAAGTAAAACTATCCCTAGTTTCAGAGAGTTTGATTTTACATATATAAAGAGCTCAGCAGGGTTTCAGGATAATCAATTTCTACACACTAGCAATAAAAATTCTTTAAAAATTCTATTTACCATAGCATCAAAAGGAATAAAATTCTTAAGTTTCAAAACTTACTACAAAGTTACAGTAATCAAGACAGTGTGGTACTGGCATAAGAATAGACCTATAGATCAATGGAACAGAATTGAGAGTCCAGAAACAAATCCATACATCTATGGTGAATTGATTTTCGACAACGATGCCAAGACAATTCAATGGGGAAAATACAGTCTTTTCAAAAGTGATGCTGGGACAACTGAATAGCCACATACAAAAGAATAAAGTTGTAACCCTCCCTCACATCGTATAGAAAAATTAACTTTAAATTGACCATATCCTTTAACATAAGAACTAAAGCTATAAAAAAACTCTTAGAAGAAAATATAAGAGAAAATCTTCATGACCTTAAGTCCTTAGATATAACACCATGAGCATACACAACAAAAGAAAAAAACAGATTGGACTTCATCAAAATTATAATTTTTTGTACCTTAAAGGATACATCAAGAAAGTGAAAAGAAAACATTATATGGCAAAAGTTTTGTAAATCACATATCACTTATATCTGGAACATATAAATAACTCTTTCTAATTCAACAATAAAAAGATACAATCTAATTAAAAATGTGCAAAATATCTAGAGACTTTTTTTTAAAATGATACAGAAATATTCAATAAGTAGAAAAGATGCTCAACATTTTTAGTCACTAGAGAAATGCAAATCAAAACCGTAATGAGAAATCCCTCATACTCATTAAGATTGCTATAATCTAAAAGATGGATAAATATTGGTAAAGATATAGAGAATCGGAACCCTCATAAACTGATGGTAGAAATGTAAAATGGTGTAGATAGACACTTTGCAAAACAATATGGCAGTTCCTCAAAAGAGTAAACACAGAGTTATCATTTAACCTAGCAATTCTACTATGTATATACCCAAAAGAAATGCAAACATGTCCACGTGAAAACGTAGTGATTATTCATAATTGCCAAAAAAGTAGAAACAACCCAAATGTTCATCAACTGATGAATGAATCAATAAAATATATTATATGCATATAATAAAATATTATTTGGGAATAAAAAGGAATGGAGATCTGATACATATTATGACATGGATGAACTTTGTAAACATTATTCTACGTGAAAGAATCCAGATGCAAAAAGACCACAAATTGTATGATTCTTTTAAATGAAAATATCTAGAATAGACAAATCTATACACACAGAAAGTTCACTGCCTAGAGCTTGGGGTGAGGGGGATTTTGCAGGGAAATGGCAGGGAGTTGCAAATGGGTACATGGTTTCTTATTGGGGTAATGAAAACATTCTAAAAATGATTGTGGTAATGGTTATACAGCTCTGTGAATATACTAAAACTATTTAACTGTACAGTACAAAAGAGTGAATTATGATGTATGAATTGTATTTCAACAAAGCTGTTACAAAATACACTCCTTTGTTAAAATACTATAATACCAAATATTGAGATGTTCTATTATAATCAGAAGTCAACCTAATAATTTAATCAAATTCACCAAGAGCCCCTATTTAATATTTTCTAGTCTAGTTCATAACTAACTATATATATATTTGATATACTAAAAATTAAAGAAACAGCATTGCTTTAATATATATTCATAGTTTTCAATAATTCATAATGGCCTTCCATCAATAAATTTTAATAACTAGGGGCTCAATAAATTAAATTCTCCCCTTACAGGACATAGACTGATATTTTAACAATTTTAGCATACTTCAATGACAATGTCTAACAAAAACTTAGACTTCCTATATGTTGTGAAACAAGCTAAAAATAATTTAACTTAATAGTTACCAAAAAATGATTCTACTATAAAAAATTCTCAACATTTATATGAAAAAGTATAAAAGGAAAAGCATAAATCCTTTTGTAACTTTAATTTCCATAAATTTTAAAGCCATTTTAAGAAAATTAAGCTAAAGTAAAATGTTAAATACAGAACAATTCCTCGAAGTTTAATTTGATAAATTTCTAAGATGAAATTGGCTGAAATAATCACTTAAAAATAAATTTTTAATACAAAATAAACTTTAGTTTGGGCTGAACAGGCCTTCAATATTAGACATACTGAAAGAAGCAATAAATAGTAAATAAAATTCTAAATATGAGAACTTATCTGTAATAAATGCATTCATGAAGAGTACAACAATATGGGAGGAAGAGTTATTTCATTCTCTTTATATCAATAGCACATTACTAGATCAAAATACATTATTGGGGGTTTTTTTAATCTTTTTGACCATACCTAATAAATTCAAAGGACAAACTCACAAAAAGTCCTGACACAAGAGGGCCTGTAGTACAGAAGGAAGGAAGTAGTAACAGAAATAACAGAACTTGGGTCAGAAACTACAGCTGAAAGTGAGTAGAGGGATAAAACAGAATTCCTGGAAATGACATTGAAATTGAATGAGAAATAGGTAGTAGAAAAGACACAGGAAGTGTAACATGAGTGAAAGCTGCAAAAAAGAAAAGGAATATAAAGCCTCATGAGAGAATGTGAAGGCCAAGTTACAAATTCATATGGTGGAAAGGAGCAAACTAAGGGCCAATTTGAAGGGAAAAAAGATGCAGCTGGAAGAATCAATTTTGTAGACAGCTAAAACAGCTATTCCCACAGTATTTGGAGAAGGAGTTCCAGGTACTATTGTTCCTTTACCACTGTCTTTCATCATGTTCCTTCACTTCTGTAGTCTTGGGTGCTGTATCCTGGGGCTACCTTTGCTAAAGCTGAAAAGCAGGATTCAGAGTTGAGGACATGAGGCCTCAGCACCATAGGCACTGGGAAGCTATCTCCATAAGCTAGCATATCATCATTCTGGCTGCCAAAATAACCAGGAATTTCTTAAAACACAGGGCTATTTTTTCAGAATGAACACTCCTAGAATGTTCTACTTTTTCAGGTCTGAGTACTATCACACCTAGAAGCCTGTGTCAATCATAAACTTAAATTCAACCACATACTAACTCAGAAGGCCACAAGTACTAAGCACACTAGTTAAAATGCAGAGACCAAAATATTTTCAAGCAGATATTAGAAAAGCTAGGTGTTTTGTTTTTTTAGATTTTTTAAAAATTTTATTAGTTTCAAGTATACAGCACATTGTTTGGACATTTATAGTTTATAAAACAATCCTCCTCATTGCACCTTCTCTCCTCTGGTTTTCCACCTGGCCAATATATTAATGCTAACTGCATTCCCTATGTTGTGCTCCCCATCCCCATGACCACTATCTTGACCACTACTAATTTGTACTTCTTTAACCCTTTACCTCATTCTCCCAGTCCCCCAATGTCCCCTCCCCTCTGTCCATCACTAAATTGTCTATATTTGTGAGTTTGTCCTTTTTGTTCCTTAGATTCTACATATAAGTGAAATTATATGGTATTTATCTTTCTCTGTCTGACTTATTTCACTCAGCATAATAACCTCTAGGTCCATCCATGTTATTGCAAATGGCAGGATTTCATTTTTTTAATGGCTGAGTAATATTCCATTGTATATATCAACCATAACTTCTTTACCCAATTGTCTGTTGATGGGCATTTAGGTTGCTTCCATATCTTGGCTATTGTAAATTGCTAGGTTTTAATAGAATGAGAGTATTCACATTTTTTCTAAAGTTGCAATGAAATTAAATCAACAGAAAGGGAGACAAAATATGACAACAAAATCCTGCAAAAGTAATTTTAGTATACTTAGCCATTGGTTTTGTTAAAAAGTCTTTTTCATTAGGCTCTTTCAGTAAACTATAACTAGGCAAGTAAATTTTCACTCTTCTAACATTTTTTCAAATTATCAAAAGTATTCACTTCACCTGATGTAATAAATACACTATGCTCAAAAGTAAAACTGACAACTTTAGATATAACAGCAAAACATTTCAAATCTTCAAGAGCAGAGACAATATCATCTATATATAGATGACAATATATAATAAGTGTTCGAGAAATATTTGTGGAATAAGTGGGCTCTTCATGTTATGTTACACCAAACGCATACACACACACACACTCTCTTCATGTCTGTACCATCATAAGTTTAAAAAATCACATTTTTAACGATGAATTTAAATATCACATAAAAGGTAACACATTCTAGTCTTTTTCATTATCCTCTCCTTATAATAGTAAAGTGCAGATAGGAGAAAAAAAATAAATTTAAAAAATGGTTCCAGGTTCAGAGAACACTAATGGTCTCCTGATACCAATTCTCCTCATCCACCCATAAAATCAATAAAGAAAATAAATAAAACCACACAATACCCACATCTTCAGCATTTCTAGGAGACAGAGAATCAGACTGGAATCAGGTATCTCAAAAACAATATACAAAGCAGGCAATGGAAGAGCAATACATTTAAGAAACCTTATTAAGGAAAGAAGGGGTAGTTAAATGTGCTTTATGGAAGGAATATGACAAGAAGAAAATAAACATGTTAGCAGTGATAATCTTTAAAAAGAAAAAAAGAATATTATACTGAGCAAAGCTGTCTTGTCCTTTAAGTATCAAGGTCATAGGACACAAGCGTGAATGCATCAGAACTCAAAAAATATTGTACACATATAAACTTCTTGAGAAGCATACAAGGGCAAGGGTCAGCCAATTAGGGCTTATCGGCCAAATCTAGTCTGTTTTTGTACAAAATAATTTATTAAAACACAATCACACTCATTAGTGTATGTATTATCGATGACTGACTGCTTTCATGGTACTAAGGCAGTTATGTGGTTGCAGCAAAAGTTACCTGGCTTACAAAATCTAAAACATTTACACTCTAGTTCTTTACAAAAAAAATTTGCCAACTCCACAGGAGACTAGAATATAAGTTTCATTCATCTAAAAGAAGGCTGGAAAGCTTTGGCAAAAGGATTAAGGGCAAGCATTTCATATATAGATGCAGGGCTGATTAAGGCAAGGGTGTAATCAATATAGATTAAGAAAACACAAGCTGCAATCGATACCAAAATAGACGCCAAGTTAAAAAAGCATTAAATAAGATAAAGGACACTTTATAATGTTAAAAGCACATTCTGGTTTTGGAATATAACAAGGGGGATACATATCACACTTTAAAGATGCGGTTAGGTGTGAAATTACCAAAATAGTGGAGTAGGGAACTCCAAAATTCCATCCCTCTTCAAAAGTAACAAATTAGCAAAAATTGTCAGAATCAACTTTTTCAAAACACTTGAATCTAATCAAAAACTTACAACAACCAGAAGAACTCTAAAGGAGAAAGAAGCTGCAAATTTTTGGTTAAAAGTACTTTTAACTTACTCACTTACTATGCCCTGCTCTCTATCCTGGCAGTGGCTATGAAGATAAGAGCTTATATTTCTTGTGTAAGTTGCTAATACCAGAGAAAGCAATAAGGTATTTATTCTTAAAAATTCGTGATTGTATTTTTCGATCTACATGGCAGCTCCCTGAGGAATTGGCTCAAGGGCTCACCTGTTTTGCCTGTGTCAGAGCTTCCCTGGGACAGAAGCAGCTTCCTGGGTAGCAGGAAACACTTTTGCTGAAAGCATTTAAAGGCAAATGTATTAGCTGCAGTCTCAAGGAGTAAGGAATAAAAGTCAGTGACAAGGAATTACAGTGAGGGCAACATAACAGACCAAAAAAACTGGGAAGGAAAAGGCTGGGAAACGAGATACTTGAGGCAAAAGAAGATTTTAAAAGTTCCTATGTATATGAGGGAATCTAGGAGGACATGTGCATGCTCAGAACTAAACATATGCTCTGAAAACACTTGAGAAGACCTTGAGCTTTCACCTCTGACTGCCCTTCGAGCTCCATGCAAAGAGGAAGTGTAGGCTACAGCAGAGTTTTAAACTGCCTCGCTAAGCATTGGAATGCCCCAACACGGAGCCCATATGCAAGGACTAGGTGAGTTTGTTTTTTGTTTTGGCTCCAAGCATTTAAGGAAATCGCTGTCAAATAATGAAATGTTCACTAAGTTAAAGGAACAGAAGCTTCAGTGGCCACACACAACAAAGAATTACAGACTTTACAAAAATAGTTCGGAAATCACTAAACAAACAATGAAAACTCAAAACAGCAACGACAACAAACACTAGGAAGAGGGGCAAATCTGATTTTCAGTGTTGCCAACTTATAATATTCAAAATGTCCAGTTTTTAACAAAAATGACAAGTTATACAAAGAAACAATAATGTATGACTTATTCTTGGAAGAAAAAGAAACAAATAGGAACTATCCCTGAGGAAGCAAACACTGGCCTTACTAGACAAACTTTAAATCAATTGTCTTAAATATGCTCAGATTAAAGAAATCATAGACAGAGACCTAAAGGAAATCAGGAGAACTCTGTCTCAACAACTACAGAATGTCAATAAAGAGTTGGAAATTATATAAAAAGGAACCATACAGAAATTTGGAGCTGAAAAGTACAATGACTGATATGAAAAATTAACTAGAGAGGTTCAATTTCTAATTTGAACAAGCAGAAGAAAGAATCAGCAAGCTTGAACACTGGTCAATTGACATTTTATAGTCTGAGAAGGAAAAAAAAGAATAGAGCCTAAGAGACCTGTGGGACATGATCAAGCGACATATGTATAACAGAAGACCCAAGGATGGGGAGAAATGAACAGAAAGAGTAAAGAAATAATGGTAAAAAATTTCCCAGTTTTGATGAAAAACAACCTATGCATCCAAGAATCACAATGAACTCCAAGAAAGATAAACTCAAGGAGATTCACAAGTAGATACATTATAATCAAACTGTCAAAAACCAAAGCCATAGAATCTTGAATTAAGTGAGAGATGTAACTCATCACGTGCAAGGGCTCAGTAAGATTAACAGCTGAATCTACGCAAAACCATTGGAGGCCAGAAGACAGTGGCATGACATATTTAAAGTACTGAAAGAAAAGAAGTCAACAAAGAATTCCATATCCAGAAAATCTATCCTTCCAAAATAAAGGAGATGGTTAATGGGTATAGAGTTTCAGTCTTGCAAGAAGAAAAAGTTCTGCAAAATGAACAACAGTGTGAATATACTTAACATTACTGAACTGTACACTAAATATGACTAAAACAGTAAAGTTTAGTTTTATGAATTTTACTGGTTAAAATTTTTTTTAAAAAAATGAAAAATTAAGATTTTCCAGATATACAAACACTGAGGAAGTTTGTCACTAGACCTGCCCTATGTGAAATGTTACAGGAAATCCTTCAGACTGAAATGATAAAACACTAGATGGAACTCGAAGCCATACAAAGAACTAAAGAACACTGGTAAAAGCAGCTAATAGGTTAATATAAAAGCCAGTATTGTATTTCTGGCTTGTAATGTCTTTTATCCCCCTTTATAATTTAAAAGCCACATTCTACAATGTAGATATAGCCTATGACTACAACTAGAAAAAAATTAGTAAACTGAAAAATGAAATTAAAAGACTAAGGTATAATGACTATGATTTCTATAACTGAGATCTCTCATACTTTATTCTAAATCAAGTATCTCTAATTTGTATTTCACACGGACAAGATCCAGAATTGAGCATACTTGGAAGCAGAGTCTAATAAGAAAGGTCAATGGTCAGAAAGTCAAGGTACCTGAGGTGATATACTGTCAGCTATGCTAATAATTCTTAGTGTCACTTACTAACTTCTCCGGGTCTTGAGTTCCCCATTTGTGAAATGGAAAGAATACGACAACATTATAATAATTTATATAAAGAAAAAAAGAAAATAGTTGATTTAAAATTCTTTAATTCCTTAGTAAGTAAGGAAGCAGGCAAAGACAAAGTATTTATTATTATTATTATTATTATTATTATTATTATTATTATTACTTTCAGCATACAGAAGCAGTTTCCTTATTTACCTGATGATGTTGGATATTTCTTATGTTGCATGAAAAATTCTGGTAGAGTACAAATTTATCAACATCTTTCTCATTTACTTTTTTTGAGGACACTTTTGCTAGAGATGACTGGAGAGAAATATATCTATTTTGGCACCTGTTCAAATACACAGATATTTTTAAAAAGTAGTTATTAATATATGTAGTAAAGAAATATGTTATATGGATTAAGGTTAGCAAAAAAGATACGGCATTACCAAATGAGATTTTTTTAAATGATGCCTAACTAGCATAGGTCCTACAGATCTATTTGTGTCAACCCAAGTCTCCCATAAAAGGCCTCAATGAGTTCAGATACCATCTGCAGTTATACAAGAGGCCAAAACTATCTACAAAGATTCAAATCAATAACTTTGGTCTAGATATCATCCTTCTCTAACCACTGAGTCAGCCAGTCAGAACCAATTAAAAGCTAAAAAGAAGAGAAGTAAAATGTGTCAGGACAGCTTCCAAATGACAATGTATAAAACTGGAGACGAAATTTCAACAGTATGATTACTTATAAAAACACATTTAAAAACCTAGGCAATTCTCCTACTTTAACTCATTCTGCTAGGACCACTGAGAAAACAAAAAAGTTCTCTACCTTATATTAACAAACACCCTGACAAGCTATAGTAGCCAACTGATTCATATCCACCTTTCCTCTCCTCTGCACAGCTCACACTGCTAGAGATGTGGAGAGAATGGGAGAGCAGACCTTTGGCAAAACACTGTCTTCTCTTCTGATTCACAGCCAAAAAGGAAGGACAGAGGATATAAAAATGAGATTTTAAAGTAATACCTTATTATAATGAGGCATTAAATCCACAAACCAAAGTAGGGTCTAGGTCGAAGGGTTTTAATCTCTTATAAACTGGGACTGTGATACCATGGATAAGCTGCTCTCCATCAGTTAAAATTCACTTTGAGGTCAGTACTTTTATTCATACCTGATATTAAACATTCTCAAGTTAGCCTACCACTGGTAAACACCAGAAATAAGATAATATAAAATTAAGTACCTATATCGCAATATGTTTAAAAAACAATGCCACCCACTCTAATTTCTCTCTAGCATGTATTGTGTAATGCAGTGGTTTTTAAACTGTGTTCCTCAGAGCCCTCCATTGAGGTGCTTCAGTGTAAGGAAGACAAGCAGGCAGAGTTCCAGGCTTCCTGCCCAGAATTCAATTAAAGCAATTTTACTTTATCTGTTTTATATATTAGGGTTCTGTTGTTTGAACAAAGAGTTCTGCTACTTAAAAAAAAAGTCTGAAAATAAAATTTTTAATGAACACTGGTCTTAGCACTAACCATGCCGCCCTTAACAGCATGAGTCCACAAAGCAGAAAACTATAAAAGAGTAACTCACAATTTCCGAACGAAGTCAAGTGTGTCTCTGTCTTTAGCAATCATGTCTGCTAAAATATGCTGCACTCCTGTTGCAATGTCCTGGAGTGCTGAAAGCCCTTTAAGTAAAAGGGAAAACAAAAGCAAGAACTACAGATTAGATTTAAAGTCTACAATTAAATCACAATAAATTTATTCCATCAAAATAAAACCTTAAATTGACAAAATTAAGTCAAAAAATATCATAGCAGTAACTAGCTTCTCCTCCCAACCAAAACAAATCTCCAAAAGTAATAATATCAGAACACCACATACCACATAACCTAGAGGTGAAAAAGGCAGCTCTGGTTCCACCACTTATCAAATGTGTGACTCTGGGCAAGTTACTTGACCTCTCTGTGCCTCAGTTTCCTATAAAAGTCAACTAATAATAAGTACCTACTTCATGAAGTATTTACAAAGATTAAGTATGTTATGGAAAATATGTATTAATTGGGTCACATCCCAAGGTATCCTATTTCACTCCAGTCACAAAAATTCTCCAAGTAATTTTATTCATATTGTTATTTTGGCTTATGAGGCATTAATTCACATTTTCAATGACCCATCTGAATTTTTCAAGTCTCATAAGCACAAAACAAAAGCCATTATGTGGTTACTCATCTTCATAGTTGAATTGTCTATCAATGGTATGTTATGTTCTTCCAAGTGCTTTTGGTTTGGTAATTTACAGCAGTGAGTCTTGTAAATTATGGCTCCTATGACATCAACTTATATATTGAGAGATATCAGTTGCATTGCTTTTATTTTTTTTGTCTTTATTGTTTTATTTCCATTATAGCTTTTTTTTTCTTGCATTAAAGCTTGAATTACACAAATATAGTACTGAGTATCATAAGCATGTTTTCCTGAGAGTATAGTTTTAATGAGTACTAGATATAAAAGACAAAGAGAAGAGAAAGACAGACTCATGGAGTAATTAACAAAGAGAAAATGACTTGTTGGGTTTTATGATAACTAACCTTAACTCCTGAAGTAATTACATTTATTTTAAAGAAATTTAAAGAAAGAAATTTGGCCACTAAAATAGGAATTGCTTACATTTTAAGAGAATTTCTCTAAGAAGGAATTTTCAGGAACAAACTACCTTTGAGAAGCAGCAGACAATGTAAAGGACTTAGAAAAGCTGTGGCATATAGTAAGCAGTCAATAAATGTCTGTTCTCATGTTAGCTATCTCCCTAGATCAGTCTTCATCTAAGTAAAACCATTCACTACCCACAAATTCCTGGAGTTCTGAAACATCTCACGGCATCATTACACTAAGTTCAATGAGGGCATCATGGTGACAAGTCAGTAGTAAAGACAGAATCTACATTAAGAAAATGTACATTAATAAAAGAGAACATAAAGAGAAAATTATAGATTTTGCTATAATAACAAAGGCCTTTGAAAAGCTCCAGTCATTTTGGGAGAATACAATTTGTAAACCTTATGTAATTAAAATTATTCTAGAGCTCTAGAGCAATGTTTTATAAAGTACAGTCTAAGGACCTGAATATAAATTCACCCTAGACACTTGTTAAAACTATAAATGCCTAGAGTATGGGATTTTATTGTTTTACAGAGTATCACAGATGATTCTGATACTCATTAAAGTTTAAAAACCTCTGCTAGGGAGGTGCCCCAGGCCACCTATAGAGCAGTGGTTCTCAATGGGTAGTAGAAATTATCAGTCATTTGGGAAGCTCATCCACATTACATACTCCCTTCTTAGTCCATCTATGGAGTGAAAAGACTGGAAGAGTCTTGTGTGTTTTGAAGAAGCACTTTCTCTCATTAAAGAGAATTGATCTTTGGGGCTTAATGCAGCCAAAGATAATAGGAGTTCCAAAAGTTTAGTACCTAAGTGAACTCAGGAAAATAAGTTCCACAGACCAGAAAATCATATCCCTTGCCTTGTAGTGAAAGCTTTCCAACTGTTGATTCTTCAAACCTCTACAAGTATAACAAAAATTGAAGGGCCAACATTTCTTTTCACATTATCTGCGCTAAGGCCACTTCTTCTTATATACAATAGAACAACCAGCTACTCTCCTTGTATACTACACAGGGAAATTCTATATCTTCTATGTTATAATCCATTTGTACCATAGTATATATATCTCTTTTATTCAGACCAAATACTTGTTGGCCGGTGGCAAGTAAGAAAGTAAGATGAGTCCTCTACTGGGTAAAAAAAGACCACTGAAATATCTGGTTTCTTAAACATTTCTTTAAGGAATGATGGGCATGATGAAAATACTTCTTTAGAAAAACAGTAATAGAATTGAGGGTGATCATGAGTATATGAATAACATAAAGGATGAGGGGACTGAAAAAAGGAAAAAACATTCCAAGTAAACTTTAAAAAGCAGTATCTAGCTTGTTTGGAATTATAATTCTTTATCTTTGTGATTAGAGTAAAAGAAAGGGGGAGTAAAGCAAGCAATCCTGACATGTGTGTTAGTACTACTATGACTGTTCTGGGCCTTGATCTATCCCCATTATCAGAAGTATCACCAAGTATCCACCATCATGTAGTCCAGGAGTATCACTATATATGACAATAAAAAGAAATATGGTTATCAAGCATGTCCAGTAGGAACTCGGTATGAGTGTTAACTAAGGGTAACTTTGTACCCAAGGAGGTAAGAAGTAGAAGAAAAAGAAATCAACTATAAGAGAAAAATTACAATAAACAATAAACCTTTATGTGTCTAACATTCTGAAAACGTTTGATTCTAATAAAACATACCACGACTGCACACAGATAGTTCCCACCGTGGCCACCCTTAATGCACGGCTATACAATCTCAGCTACTATTAAAACATTACATGTTGCAACCATTTGAAAATCTAACTAAAAATACACATTAAAAAATTAAACAAACTTGAATTTTATTCATTTCAACCCATCTCTATATTCAAATAATACTAATTTGCTTTTTATTTTCATTATTGACCTTTCCAAAACAGTTAAGATGTGCTTATTTGTATATGAACAGACATATGTATTTTTTACAGACACACATACTCAAATTTTTTAATAGCAAATTCACATTTGCTGAATTATTTAAAACAAAAACAGATTATGGTATATTGTGATTCTCTACAGTTTAGCACATATTGTGGATTTTGTTATCAGATACTGCCCCCTACAGACACTTATGTCTTCCAGCCTATAGAATCAACAGAAGGCCAACAGAAACAAGATTGAGAGTAGGAATTACCAGAACATCACTCTCCCCATTAAATACTCTCAGAACGCTCTTGAAAAAAAGCCAATCTTATTTGAAAAGCTCTCATTCTCAGGCCCTCATTTTGACAATAAAACCAATGCATCTTGACATGTATCAGATATCACCTTGCTGGGGTTTTTCTTAGAAATAGCTCTGCCTTACTCCCTTCCACGCTCTCTCTTGTGCACGCACATACACAAAAGGATAGGAAAATACTTTTCAGAAAAAGACAAACACTTTACTCCTGCAGAGCAGAAGTGTGAAATTAGGACATCACTTTATACTTTATTTGAGTCAGAACAGTTGAAATTCTTTCTAAAGTATATATGACTTTTATAATGCAATAAATTTTTAGAAATAGGATAAAAGTTTTAAAAGACAATATAGAATTTTTATAACCTTTGGATGTGAAAGAATTTCTTTAAAAAGAAAAAAAAGCAATTATCTTCAAAATAAAGATTAATACATTGAAAAGATTAATAAATTATAATAAAACTAAGACCTTCTATTTACCAAAAGACAGCACAAAGAAAGTGAAAAAAAAATTATTCCTGGCAAAGATTTACAATCCACATAACTGAAAAAGAATATCTTAAAATGCTTATAAATTAATAAGAAAAAGATAAACAACACAATAGAAAACGGGCAAAAGTCTAGAAGAGGTACTTCATCAAAAGAGGAAAGCTGAATGGCTAAGCACGAGGTATATCGGAATTTACTTTGTAAGAATTATTCATTCTTTATATGCTATATTGTACAGTCATTACCTAATGAAACAAATTTTTTAACATAAGTTTTTCAAATTAAAAAAAGAAACAAAGCTGATGTCTTTAAAGCAGGTACCTTCTACATTTGGTTGAATGTAAGACAGCAGATTGAGCTCCCCTGGATTCTCGAGTAATGTCCTGGCTGCCCCTTCTAATCCCAATTGCCTTGCTCTTTGGGCTTTGGTGCCTTTGCTCCCAGTTTTATATGGAGCTGACTATAAAAAAAAGTCAGAAAACATATCACGTTATTCAGTTTTGAAAAAGTAAAAGTTAAATCAGGATACAAAACTGGAGGACACAGTGAAAATGCTAAAGACATCCTATGTCAACCTTTTCCTTCAGAGATGAATTAACAATGACTAGATAATACTAGCTGTATGAAGATGGCTGTTCTTTTCTGATTCTTTATACTTTTATATATGCTTAAAATTATTTTTTTGTTTCCATTCACTTATTTTGAAAACTCAGTGCCTGGACGGCAAGTACTGTAAGGTTCTCTAAAAGCTGTCAACACACAATGCTTCTACTTCTTAATCCACATTCACTTCTTAACCTGCCACTATCTGGATTCTCGTTCCACACAACTTGCTGAAAGAGGTATCACAAGGGTCCTCAAAGATTCCGATTATAAATATACATTTTTCAGTCCGTATCTAGCCAAATCTCTCTTCTATATTTAATCATTTAACGATTGATCATTACCTCCTTCTAAAACTCTTTCTTAGCCTTCCACACTATCTATCACTGTCTCCTGATTATCCTTATACTTTTCTATTATTTCCATGTCTCATTCTTAGGTTCTCCCTTCCCCATATGCACTTCAAAGGTTAGTATTCCTCAACAGTCTACCTTGACTTGTCTACCCCACCAACTCTCCTTGAGTGAAATCTCCCATTCTCATGGTTCCAAATACCAACTACATGCTGAAGATGCTCACATTCAGGTTTTC